AGTTGTTCTTTTAAAAAAAGTTAATACAAATATATGGTGCAGAAATGCAAAAGTTGTAAAAGGGTATACAATTAAGTCTCTCTTTCTTCCCTTCTCCCAGCCCACACTATTTCCCTCCCCTGATGCGATTTTTATGTAATCTGTCCGGATATGTTTTATGTATGTATATGCAAATGCATATTAAATATGTATATCTATTATAAGACATAAACTTTTAGCATTCTCTACATATTTTTCTCCACCTTGCTTTATCACTGAACAATGTCTTCTTGATATCATTCCATATGGATATACAGAAAGAGCTGCTTCATTCTTTTTAATAGTTATGTAGTACTCCATTACATGGATGTGCTCTCATTAACTGAATTAATCCACTGTCTAAGAGATTTTATTTTTTCCAAGTATTTTCATGACAAAAATATTTCAATAAATACCATTCATATAATATCCTTTTTACCACATGGGATTCTATGAATAGGGTATTCCTAAAGATGGAAGTGCTGGTTCAAAGAGAAAATAAATTTTGAAAATTTTAATGACTGTTGACAAGCTACCTATATGATGCTGTTTATTTCCATTAGCAATTAATGAGAGCACTGGTTTTCCCACACGCTGTTCAACACAATGCCTTATTGAACTATTTGATCTTTGCCAAGAACCTAAATGGTAATTCACCATTGGTTTAACTTACATTTCTCTTTTTATGGATAAAGACGAGTATATTTGCATATATTTAAGATTTATTTGGATACCCTTTTCTGTGAACTGTCTGTTAATAGCATTTGACTATTTTTTCCTGTTGGATTGTTATTTTTTATATTGATTTGTAGGCATTATTTATATATTAAGTAACTGAAACCTTTGTGATATGAGCTGCAAATTTTTTCCCCCAGTTTGCAGTTTAACTTATAACTTTGGTTAAGGTATTTGTTTTTATTAAGTACATTTTTAAAAGTGTAGTAAAAACTCATCACTCTTTTTTATTGCCTCTGGGCTTATGTATTTTATATAGAAGGACTTTTCCTGCTCTGAGATTATTTTAAAAATCTCATGTTTTATTCTAGAATTTATGAATTAATATTGTACAATAAAACATTTGATATAAAGATATATTTTCTAAAATTGATACACGAATCTGTTATTTGTCTTCAATGTGGCTACATATTTGTCCCAACACCATTTTCTGAATAATGCAATTTTTATCCTCTTATTTGAAACCCCATCTTCATTACAAACTAAATTTCTAAATAGATTTGAGTCTATATCTGGACTTTCTATTATGTTCCATTGATCTGTGTCTATTCATGTGCCATTATTGTACTATTTCAATTATTGTAGTTCCAAAATATATTCATAGCTGATAGGTCTAATTCTTTTTCATTGGTCTTCATTTTCAGAGTTATTTTTGACAAAATTTGTTGATTTATTTTTTTCATAGGAACTTTAGAATCTATATAGTTCCAAAAACTCCTGGTATCTTTTGATGATTTTATAAAATTTATAGATTTATTTAAAGAGATTTAGCATCATTTTAAAATTGAGTGTTTCTGTGCGAGAAGAGAGGATGTTTTTGCATTTGTTGAGTCTCATTTTGTATAAAACAGATCAAGGACTGGTTCTGGTCTGCAGTGAGATAAGAAGAAAAATTCAGAGCAAACATTTAGAAACTTTCAGAGCAATTTGACATGTTTGTGACATCCATTGTGGTTGTGACAGTCTTTCAGAAATTTATTTTTATTGTATTTTAAAAAATTATCTAACCATGATAAATTGAAAATAAAAAAGATTGATGTTTCTCCAAGACAATTTGAGAAGCGCTGCTGAAAAGCACAATAGTAGTTTTTGTGGTTATTATTATTATTGTTTGAGGATTAATTTGATTATATGTATGCCTATACATGCTGATACATGAATGCATAAATATAATCATATCCGTGTTCCTTGTAAGTTTTTTTCCTTAATTTTTTTCCTATTTGCTTTGCTCTTTTTCCTCTTTTTTGTCTCTGTTAATTCAGAGTCTCTCTCCACTCCAAATAACCCATATCAACAATTCATTATATATTCTTCTATATTTTATCTAGAAAAATGTTAAATAATAGTGGGCAAAATTTCTTTTCCCTGAAGTTTAAGGAGAATACTGCTAGAGCTTCACCAGTAAATGTGATCCTTGTTTTGGGAATACGATACATATATTTATCATTTAAGACAGTATACTGCTATTCCTTTTTTATTAAATTAAAAAATATATATTTTAAAGATTATCAAATATATTTTTAGCATCTTTGGTGATGTTTTTATTATATTACTTTTAAATGTATCAATATGGTGAATTACATAATCAGATTTCCTAACTCTTGTCCATCTTTGCTTTCCTGGGATAAATTGCATCTTGTTGATCATGGTTTATTAAACACTTTCTCTCCAGCTTTCTTGAGATATAATTGACATATAACTGTGTAAGTTTAAGATGCACAATGTGATGATTTGATACACATATATATTGTGAAATGAATACAACAATAAGGTTAGTTAGCACATCCTTCACTTCACGAAATTACCATGTTTTTGTTTTGTTGTCATTATGGTGAGAACATTTAAGACCTACTTTCTTAGCAACTTTCAAGTATACAATACAGTACTCTATCGTGTTGAGAATTTTTGCATCTCTGTTCATCAGGTATATTTGCTTATAGTTTTATTTCCTTATATTGTCCTTATCTGGCTTTGGTATGAAGGTAATGCTGACCTTGTAAAGTTAGTTTTGCAGTGTTTGCACCTCTTAAACTTTTGGGAAGACTTTGAGAATGATTGGCATTAATTCTTCTTTAAATATTTGGTAAAATTCACCAATGAAGCCATATGGTCCTGGACTTCCATTTGTTGGGAGGTTTTTGATTACTGATTTAACTTTTTTACTCATTTGTTATTAGTCTGTTCAGCTTTTCTATTTCTTCATGTGTCAATCTTTGTAGGTTGTATGTTTCTAGGAATTTATACATTTCTTCCAGGTTATCCAATTTATTGATGTTTGGTTGCTCATAGCAGTCTCCTATGAACTTTTGTCTTAGTGTGGTATCAGTTGTAATACCTCCTATTTCATATCTAATTTTATTTATTTGAGTCCTCTCTCTTTTTCTCTTGGCAGGTCTAGCTAAAGGCTCATCAATTTCATTTATCTTTTCAAAAATCCAACTCTTAGATTCGTTGATCTTTTCTACTGTTTTTCTATTATCTATTTCATTTATTTCTTCTTTGTTATATCCTTTCTTCTACTAACTTTGGACTTAGATTGTTATTTTTCTATTTCCTTGAGATGTAAAGTTAGGTTGTTTATGAGATCTTTCTTTTTTTAATGTTGGCATTTACCAATATAAAATTCCCTCTTAGAACTGCTTTTGCCACATCCCATAAGTTTTGGTATGTTGTGTTTCTATTTTCATTAGTTTTAAAATATTTTTTTATTTCCTTTTTGATTTCTTCTTTGACCCATTGGTTGTTCAGGAGTGTATTGTTTAATTTTCACATATTTTTGAATTTTCCTGTTTTCCTCCTATTATTGACTTCTAGTGTCAAACTACTATGGTCAGAAAAGATATTTGATATGATTTTCAGTCTTTTTAAATTTGCTGAAAATTGTTTTGTGACTTAACATGTGATCTATCCTGGAAAATGTTCCATGTGCACTTGAAAAAAATGTGTATTCTGCTGCTGTTGGATGGAAGGTTCTGTATATGTCCGTTAGGTCTGTTTGGTCTGAAGCATAGTTCAGGTCCAATGTTTTCCTATTGATTTTCTGTCTGGATGATATATTCATTGTTGAAAGTAGGATATTGGAATCCCTTACTATGATTGTATTGTCATCTATTTCTCTCTTCAGATCTGTTAGTATTTGCTTGACATATTTAGGTGCTCTGATTATACATATTATTTAAAATATATATAATTTTTATAGACTCATGAGGAATTGTCCCCTTTATCATTATATAATGACCTTCTTTGTCTCTTTTGCAGTTTTGACTTAAAGACTTTTCTGTCTGATATAGGTATAGCTATCCTTGCTCTCATTTGGTTTCCATTAGAATGGAACATCTTTTTCCATCCCTTCACTTGGAGCCTTTTTGTGTCCTTAAAGTTGAAGTGAGTCTCTTGTAGGCAGCATATAGTTGGGTCTTGCATTTTTATCCATTTGGTCAATCTATGCCTTTTGATTGTAGAATTTAATTCAATTATACTTAAAATAATTATTGATAGGTAAAGACTTACTAATGCCATTTTATTAACTGTTTTCTGGCTGTTCTGTAGTTCCTTTGCTGCATTCTTCGTCTCCTGCTGTCTTCCTTTGTGAATTGGTGATTTCCATAGTGTTTTGTTTTGATTCTTTTCTCTTTATCTTGTGTGTATTTACTGTAGGTTTTTGCTTATGGTTACCCTGATGATTACATACAATATCTACAGATATAACAATCTATTTTAAGCTGATGATAGCTTAACTTTGATTGCATACAAAAACTCTACCTTTTTACTTCCCCTCCATGTTTTATGTTTTTGATGCTAAAATTTACATCTCTTTACACTATGTATCCATTAAGAAATCATTGTAGCTCTTTTTAATAGTCTATCCTTTAACCTCTACACTCGAGTTAAGTGGTTAATCCATCATTATATTACAGTATTAGAGGATTCTTAATGACTACATACTAACCTTTACCAGTGTGTTTTATATTTTCATATGTTTTCACACTACTAATTAGAGTCTTTACATTTCAACATGAAGAACTCCTTTCAGAATTTCTCATAAGGCGGGTCTAGCATTGATGATCCACCTCAGCTTTTGCTTGTCTGGAAAAGTCTTTATCTCTCCTTCATTCTTTCTGGATAAAGTATTGTTGATTGGCAGGTTTTTCTTTCAGCACTTTGAATGTATCATCCCACTCTCTCCTGGCCTGCAAGGTTTCTGCTGAAAGATCCACTGACAGCCTTATGAAGTTCCCTTCTAAGTGAAAACTATGGATAACTTCACAAATTTGCATGTCAGCCTCATGTAGGGGCCATGTTAATCTTCTCTGTATCATTCCAGTTTTATTATATGTGCTGCTGAAATGAGCACTGTGTTAATCTTTTAATGTTCTGTTGGATTCTGTTTGTCAGCACTCTAAGACTTTTATATTGACATTAACAAATGATTTCTCTTGTAGTTGTCTTGATATTAATGTAATGCTAGTTTCATAAAGAGAAAATTGATGATGTGTCACTTCTTTCTCTATGTTCTGGAAATGGCTTTGGAATTAATGTTCTTTAAATAATTGGTGCAATTCTTCTGTATAACCTCCTAGCCCTGATTTGTAGGAGTGTGTAGGAGGTGGTGTTGCTCTTTGACACTTCTGTTTTCCCATGGCATTAAGTATGGAATCAGTTTCGGTAATTATTTTTCCCTGGAAAATTATCTATGTTTTAAAATTTACTTAAATTTAGTTTATAAGTTAGTCTCTTATGACTTTAATTTTCTCTTTATTTATGGTTTTCTCACATTATTTATATTACACATTTGTGTTTGCTCTATTTTTCTATTAGGTTAGAGAAAGGTTTCTTTTTTGGGTTTTTTGGGAATATTTTGAGGGTTTTTGGAAACCAATACATAAGCAATGTGTGAGTGTGTGTGTGTGGGATTATTCCATGAGGACTTAAGATGAGGCCTTTGTTTTAAGGTCACATAAATTTTTCACATCTACATATGCGCTCTGTTATTGATCATCTACTATTTTACTTATATTTTATCTCATTGATCTATCTCAAACAGAGGTAAATTAAATTTTCCTACTCTAATCTTTTTAGTATTTCTTGAGTTTTTATTTTGTTTATCTTGATTCTATGTTGTTTAATAAATATTTAAAACCCTTGGAAACTGTACTGTTTACCATTTCACAGAAACCTTCTTTGACTTACTTGTTACTCTTCACTGTGAACTCAAATTTGACTTATACTAAGGGTAACCCATGCTTGGTTTGGTTTGTATTTTCTACATACGCTATTTATTTTCCATCATTCTGGGTTGCTTTGTCTTAGGTGACTGTCTCAGAGGCAGCTTGGGGCCGGCTTCTGTGTGGTTTCAAAGCCAGGCCTGGGTTCTATGCTAGGAAGTATTTAAACCTGACTTCCCCATGGCAGAGCGTTGGCTGTGAGGGAGTTCTTGAAGCCTTTCTTTCACCCGAGTCCAGAGACACTAGCAGCTGTGGTTACAGAGTATCTACCCTCCACTCTGTTGACACAATTTTGGGCAAATGGTGGGAGCAGATAGGAGTTTTCCTTCGGCCATCTCTCTGTTCCTTAGTGTGGTGCCAAATGGCGTGTTGTGAGGACTTCACTGATGCCTGATGTTTCATTTCTGCTGTGTAAAACAAGGAGTCATTAGCTATGTTCCCTCACAGTGTGTCATCTACTTTGGAGAATTATGTTCTGATGCCTTTTTTTTTTCCTGAAATCTGCAGCTGCAGATAATTTTCTTACCTGTCTGACATTCACTGCATTTGCAACCCTTTTTCATATATTGAGGGTTAGAAATTTGTTTTAGTTTCATTAAAGACACAATTTGCAATTCTATTTCTTCCTCTTAGTTTTCCCTAAGATGATTCTTAGGGACAATACAGCATGATATTTATATCACATTTTATAAACTCAGAGTTAATCATCACCTTTTGATGTTAATCTTACTTAATTTAAATTATTGTCTTGCTGGCATGAATTTTATTTTCAAAAGATTTTCCTCTCAGACTAACGTTTTCCTCTTGTCTCATTGAATACTGAAGGATAGGGAAATGTAAATTTTGCATTTTTTTTTCAGTGAGGTGAAGAGTATAGGTTCTCTTGTAATGTTTTCTTTTATTCAAGTTTAGGTCTTCATCTTTAGATTTATTTCACTCATCATTTTAACTGATATCAGCAGATCTCAGAACTATCTGAAAATTACTACCTCAGACTTCAAAGAGGAAAATAGTGTTTCTAAAAAATGGATTAATTCTGTATAGTGTATTTGGAGAGAGAAGGAAAATAATGAAGAATGCCCATGTCATGAAGCTCTATTTTAGTAAAGCAATAGCTTCTATATTAATGTATTTTTCTATCAGAATATGTAGTATATCATTGTGTGAGTAACATAGTATTGAACTTCAGTTGAAAACTAAAGTGGAAATTAGAACAAACCTTCGCATAAATGCTCTTTCTTTTTCAGAGAGGCTAGGAAATAATTTGAGAAACAAGAGCATCAAGAGATGATTACTTCCTTTTGTGGGAGAACCTTGACTTATGCACTTTTGCAGATATGTTTTGTAATGCTATCTGACCAACCCCAGAGAACCCCAAAATCCAAAAGCCCTTGCAATTTTTCACATATAACGTGAAGTTTTGGTAAAATATACAGGGGAAAAACTGGCAGAGGTTCACAGACATCTTCTAAGCATCTAATTCACCTTGGAGAATCAAAACATTTGATTTGAATTCAAAATTTAGAGACATTCTGATTGCTTTGGAAAATCTTTTTGGATTACAAAAGGGGTTGTCTATGCATAGATGGCACCATTATTGTCTCTTTTGGTATTCTAATTTTACTCATTCTTTACCATACTAAGGAGGTAGAAGGGACCTTATTTCATGAATTGTGATTCTTAAGCTACACCTAAGTAAAGAACCCAGTTGATACCTGGGACCAAATGGTTTACTGTACAACTGACTCAAAGTTGGATCTTTCAAAGCATGGAAAGCATCATTGAACCCAAATTGGGGAGCTCGCCTACATGCTGATTAAATGCTGTAAGTAGCTCTGAAAATCAAGCCTGCGAACATGGAAAGCAATCAGTCCACTCATAATTACAGTGCCACTGAATTCTAGTAATTTATGGGAAAGGAAAACAAATCTAGTTACTCATCCTCTTCGTGAATGAAATGTGCTCTGCACTACAAATGCAAATTATTATCTCTCATCTAAATCATTGGCTTAATGATATTCTATTTCCCAATCTCATCCTCATGTCACTGACAATGAACAGGCTTAATCTAATGATTAAAAAGTGTTTTCTGTTGAATTTGAGCTGGAGTTTATTTCAGAGTTATGTGCTTTAAAATATATAAAACAAGGAGTTTTGGTTTTTGTATTTCTCTAAGAGAATATTAAAAATATAAATGTTTCTATACTTTCTTTTCAAGAGGATTTATGCATATATACATATTAGTTCCTGCCTAGAGAGCTCAAAATCTATTTCAGAAAGCCAATATATAATGAGAGCCTATTGAACAACTACACAAGAGATCAATAAAAATTCAAAAGTTCGTTATAAGTTCCAAGAGAATACATTAAAACTTTTCTTCTGGAACATTTGGGAAATGTTCTCCTAAAAATTGTAAGTGATGTTTATTATTTTAATTACTGAAATAGTCTAAATTTTATAATATTTTGATGGTATTCTAGCTGAAGTGTTATATACATACCTCTCCCTTAACTTGTAACCATATCAATAACCATAAGTTACATTTTCCTTGGTGATTCAAAAGTATGGTTGCAAATGTCAATTGCTATAAAACAGGGAGAGATACAGTCTTTTCATTTAGTGGCTCCTAATGAAAATGTTTTAGGGGGGGTCTTTTTTTACTGTTTTTATGTCTTCTCTTGTGCTACTTAGGGATTTTCTACTCGTTCTTCTTTGGACTAGGAAATAAGGTATGGTGTGGGAGTGGATTTGTAGATATGAATGTGTGAGTATGTGTGTGTGTGTGTGTATTGTGTATGTCTGGTTGTGTGTGTTGGATTACTTTAGTTCAAGGAAACAAAACACTTGTCATACCTAAAAGGCTAGAGGATTTTTCATTATGATGCATGTGGAAGTAACAGAGGCAGAAATGTCTCCCAGATGATCATGCCTAAGGGAATGATTGTTACAGCAACAATCGTGGAATAAAAGGAGACTAGAAAGTGGCTTGGGAACTAGAAAGTCATTTAGGATACAAAGCAATTCTGAGGACTAGGCTGTCTTATCACCTTCTCTTCCACAGGACTGCTGACAAGAACTTGGCCCATTTGATCCATCACCTGCTCTCTTCTTTTTTCATTTGTCTCAACAACTCATGAAAGTTTCAATTAATTCACTTAGTTGCTATGACTTAAGTGGAACTTTATTCCCAGCCATTTTAGAAGTCCCTGGCAAGCCTATGAACTGGCTGCTTACAAGGCCAGTTATATTTGTTGCCAACTTATCTATTCATTGCAATAGAACCCCTTAGAAAGGGACATTTGAGTACTATTAGATACCATGAGTTTTGGCCAGTCTAAATTTCATACAAACCAGTTACTTATCACTGTGTTTAACATAAGGCTAAGTACGCTTGGAGTAAAGCTCTAAGGAAATGGAATCTTGTATCTACAGTAAACGTGTTTTGTAAGTGTACATTTTGACTCTTCAGTGTCTTTCTTTTTCCCTATAAAGTTGATACTCCTTTTCTATACTTTATAGCATATTTCATAATCTATCTTATGTTAAATTTTGATGAATATATAACTTTACTTCTTAAATGGTCAATCCACGTTCCCCGCAATGCCTAATGAACTCCCTTTCTTAAAATCGACAATGAATATATATTAATCAGTTAGAAATAAACTGAAGAAAGGTGCTACTAACTATGGTTGTCAAAGACAAGTTATAAACAATCTGTGCTATAAAGTCAGATGAGAGAAATATCCCTTGGAACTGAAATGATTGGGCAAGCTTTATGGAAAATGTGAACAGATAAGGTGGTTATATAATCACAAGTGATAAGGCTTTTGTTTTAGAAATGATCATCATTGTCACTGCCATCATCACCTGCAAGTGTTAATTCTTATTCAATATTTATTCTTGTTTCGATTCAAGATGTTTGATACTTGAAGGTAGATAAGTAAATTCATATGCAGAAAACTATGCAAAGAAGATAGCATATCAATCTGGTCATTTTCCCTCTAGAATATGAGCCACTACATTAATAGGCTGAGGATATGTATACAGACTTCGTGGTATATTCAAGTTCCTCTCTCTTGACACCTTTCTGAGTGAACTTGTCTATAAGATCTAATAACCCAATGGAGAC